AGCATAGTATAAGGGCTCTAGTCGGGGGAGGAAGACTATGGGAGGGTGCTATCTGGGAAGTGAAAAAAAAAATAAATAAATAAAAATAATAAAATTAAAAAAAAAATAAATAAAATACATTTTTTTAAAAAAGGAAGGGTACTTCATCCCAAGAGGTACTGTCTGTTATCCTTACCTTTCTTTTCTCCAGTGAAGGGCACAAAGTCCTCCCTGTCTTTCTGTTCCAAAGCCTCTTTCTCTAGGTACATGAGGAGGTGCTCACGGTCAAATGGGCCAGTGGCTGCTTTCTGGGTCTGGTCTTTCTGTCTGAATCCAGCCGGCAGCGTTGCACTCTGACAAGACAGAGGTACAGGAGGGAAGGGATGATGTTTGCTAGAATAAGTTTGTTATTTCTTCTTTCACATTTACTGGAAGTGGGAAAGCTGGGGAACACCTATATGGGCTGAGGGCTAGAGTCTTGGGACAGCTCTGAGTATGCCCAACCGGCTCAAGTAGACCTGACACAGGGCTAACAGCCTCTGGGCCTTCTGCAGTTGCCTTCTAGAATGTGGTGGCAAAAGGTCTTTCTTTGTCAATCATACTTAGATTTGGCTAGGTGTGCATCCAAGGGGCTCCAAAGGCAGGAGTCAAGATGGCTACACTCTTTTATATTTAACCTGTTTCCTTTGGACACATCCAAATATGTAAGTGAAGATTAGAGTAGATGTCAATCTCTACTTGATTTTTTTTTTTTTAAAAGAGGGCATCAAGGGGCTGGAGAGATGGTTCAGTGGTTGTGAACACTGGTGCTCTTGCAGAGGACCCAGGTTCAATTTCCAGCACCCACATGGCGGCTAACAACTGTCTGTAACTTCAGTTCCATGGGATCTGACACCTTCTTCTAACTTCCATGTGCACTGTACAACATGGATGCACTTATATACATGTAAGGAATATACTCATACATATAAATTAATAAAGAAAATTTTAAAAAGGTAAGGACATCTTCAAGTCCAGCCTGGTCTATATAGTCAGTTCCAGCAGCTGGGGCTACAGGGAGACCCTGTCTCAAAAAGACCCAAAAAGGGGGGCAGGGCATCAAATCTGCTGGAATTGGAGTTACAGACAGTTGTTAGCTACCATATGGGTGCTAGGAATTGAATCCAGGTCTTCTACAAGAGCAGTCAGTGTTCTTAACTACTGAGCCACTTCTCCAACCCCCAATATCTACCTGATTAAGCATTGGGTTTTTGGGTTTTTTTTTTTTTTTTGAGACAGAGTCTCATAAAGCCCTAGCTGGCCTCAAACTCACTATGTAGGGAGATTGAGAGATGGCTCAGCAGTTAAGAGAACTGGCTGCTCTTGCAGAGGACCCATGTTTGGTTCCCAGTACCCACATGGCAGCTAACAATCATCATTAACTCCACTTTCAAGGGATCTGGAGTCCTCTTCTGACCTCTATGGGCACTGCATGACATGGGTGCACTTACATACATGGGCAATGCATTCATATACATAAAATAAAAATAAATTAAAAAAGCCCTCACTCACTATGTAGTTGAGGCTGGCCTTGATTCCTGATCTTCCTGCCTCCAATTCCTGAGTGTTGGGATTATGAACATGCACTACCACACCCAGCTCTTGTTTTCTATTTTTAAGGCAAGGTCTCACTATGCAGTCTATGCTGCCCTGGAATTCACTATGTTTACTATGTTGCTGAGATTGGCCTCAAATTCACAATCTTCCTGCCCTAGTCTAGCAAGTGCTGGGATCACAGACAAAGCATCTGACATTTGGGAAACACCAGTAAGATTTGTCCTCATTCCTCTTTTTTTTTTTTTCCCATAAGTCAGAATACTTTTTCCCAATGGAAAATATTTTTCCTCTTTTACACTAAACCAGTTTTTGCAAAACCCATTTGTCATATCTCACTGCAGTGACAATGGGGCTGTCCGCAAATTTGTAAAAGTGGCTCAGAAGCACTCAGGAAGAACAGAATTTTGCATTTGGGGCTTTGGGATTTCTGGGATTAAAGGACAGAGCTGTGCCCTTGTACTGTCATTCAGCACTCTGCTGCAAGTCCGTGCCACGAACCTCGGGATCTAGGTCATCTAGAACATTTTCCAACTGTTTCAGTTCCTCTTCTGAGAGTTTGCCAAGAAGCTCATCCTCATTGATGTTCTTGTATTTCTCCAGCTCCTTTTGAAAGGGGAGTGCCATGGCTTCGCAGATAGACCTTTCTCATGCACCATGCACCTTGAGTGGACCAGCGTCCTGAGACTTCAGACTACTACTGAAAAAAGAGAAACACTGTTACCTTCTGACTCTAAACAGACTTAGTAGTAGTAGATTGTGCTATGCTGTCAATGAATTCTACTGCACAAATAATTCAACCCAATGGCAGGTTTATCTTCATTTTCTGAGCAAGAGCATAGCTTGCAAAGCATTTCCATACCCAGCTTATTAGTTCACTGATCTTGCCCTTAAGGGCAGCCCTATGAGGAAGCCAGTGCAGTTACCATCACTGCCATTTTACAGACGATGACTGAGAAGAAGGTAGCAGACCTTGCTCTGGGATGTGTGTGCCTGGTTTCTGATTTCTAGGGTAGTGAGTGCTTTTCCATTCTACTTCTCGGCCTCCCCAACTTTCCATAGAGAAATAGGAACAATGCACTGATTGTACCGCAGTTGTAAGCAGCATACTTGTGTCTTTTCAGGGAGAGTGATGAGAAGAACACAAAATGGGATTCATTCAGGAAAGTGTTTGGAACCTCTGTAAGAAAGCATTGTCCCATAAGTCCCTGCAATTAAACCAAGAGGCCTTCGAAAGTCCTGGCCACATAGTCACTCTCTCTACTTTTTTCCTTTTTATCTTCTACTTTTTAAAACTTCTTTGAGAATATTTTAATAGTATTTTCTATTCTTTGAAAGTTTCATACATATTCCCATCCACCACCCTCTCCAGCTCCTCCTGGTGTCCCCTCATCTCCCTCACAGCCTTGGTCCTCTCTTTATGGATTTATTTTTTGTTATTGTTTCTTTAGCCACCCCCTAATTCTTCTTTATGTCTTCACAACATTCTTTTTAAAAAATACTAATTTATTTTGTATGTATGAGTGTATTGTCTGCATCTGTGTAAGTGCACCCATGTTGTGCAACGCCTGCGGAGGACAGCAGTGGGTGTCGGATTCCCTGGAACTGGAGTTAAGGACAGTCGTTAGCTGCTATGTGAGTGCTGGGATTCGAACCCGGGTCTTCTGCAAGAACAGTCAGTGTTCTTAAGTGCTGAGCTGTCTCTCCAGCCCCACAACATTCTCTTTTCAGCCCCACTCCACCCCTTTAGAATACTACCTCAGTCCTAAACTTTCACTCCAAATGCAAGTTTTACTCAGTTTCTTGCAGAGAATTTTACAGATCTTCCCTAGCAAGGTAACTGCATTTATCCATCACCTAGCTCTTCTATAGCAGTCAGTATTTGCTGAATAGTTACTATTGCTAGACACAGTTTTAGAAAACAGAAATAAAAAGATCCATAGGATAGGACCCTTTCTCCCAGGGAGATCATAGCTTAGTGAGACAATCACACAGACAGCAAAAATACCATGTGGTGGGCAGGGAAGGGCAGGGGAGGGTTGAAAGGCACCTGAAAAAGAGGTGCACTTAAATCTTGAAGAAAGAGGTCCTAAGATGGACATGGGTGGGCAAGGACCATTCAAGGAAAAAACAGCATAAACAGAGGTACTAGATAGGAAAGTACATGATGTGTAGGTGGAATGGGTAGAGGTGGCTTGAGAGGAAGTTCATGGAGTGGGGACATCTGTGCAGGGCCTTTTTTATGGGCTGCTAAGGGACCTGGATTTTACTCTGTTGGAGATGGAAGACTACCATAAATTTTTAAGTCATGGGGGACCTGAACAAACTTATTTCCCCCCACAAGGAGGATGGCTGCAAGTCTGAGGCCAGCCTGGTCTACACAATAAGGAATGAGTTCCAGACCAGCTAGGGTTACATAGATAACATAGATAATCTGTCTCTCAAAAGCCCAAACCGATAATAAATAAATAAATAAACAAATAAATAAATAAATAATCCTCCCCTGCAATTGTCCTGGTGAGATGGCTCAGTGGATGAAGATGATCCCCAGAACTCAATGGTAGAAGAGCTGGAGTTACAGGCGGTTGTGAGCCAACTGATGTGGGTGCTGGGAACCAATCTCTGCCCTTTGGAAGAGCAGCAAGTGCTCTTAACTGCTGAGTCATCTCTTCAGCCCCCAAAATGTGATTTTGTTTTCTTTTTGTTGTTGTTCCTTTGAGACAGTGTCTCCTTATAGTCCTAGCTGGTCTGGAACTCACTATGTAGATCAGGCTGGCCTTGAACTTATAGAGATCCACATGCCTCTGCCTCCTGTGTGCTGGGATTAAAGGCATGTGCCACCATGCCCAGTCCAAAATGTCTTTGTTAAAAGCATGTCACATTGGGGGCCTGGAGAGATGGCTCAGCGGTTAAGAGCACTGATGTTCTTGCAGAGGACCTAGGTTCAGTTCCCAACATCCACATGGTGGTTAACAACCAAATGTAACTCCAGTTCCAGGGGATCTAATACCCTCTTCTGACCTCCACAGGCATTGCACCACATGGGTGCACTTACATACATGCAGGCAATACATTCACACATGTGAAATGAAAAATAAAATATTTAAAAGCATGTCATATTTTGATTGGCAGTATTTTTTCTTAGTATTGCATAAAATAATTCATGTTTTATAGTTGACTGACTTAGAGTTGCTAAGACTCTACTTAAGTTTCTATTCCAGGATTCTATAGCAAAACCTTAATTCCTTACCTTCCCCTGAAACAGACTTGCTTTCTAGATTAATGTATCTACCAGTTAGCCATTTCAAATAGTTAGACCAACATTATCTTCTCTCATCCCATGCTTGGTCTGTCAGTAATTACTGTAAGTAATTACTGCACCATCTCCTTTCTTCACTCATGTTTTAGATTGTGGCTCTGTGGGGACTGCATAACTCTAACTGCATGTTGAGAGCTTTTTTTGCTTTCCTCTAAGCTACTCAGAGCATTATGGGTTTATCTTCTTTCTCAATGCCACTAATAAGCCACTTGTTTGGATAAAAACCTGCGTGGGGAGGGACACCCCTGGTGAGGGTTTTTTTTTTTTTTTTTGAGACAGGGTCTCCCTGTAGCCCCAGCTGGCCTGGGACTCACTATGTAGACCAGGCTGGACTTGAACTCACAGAGATCCGCCTGCCTCTGCCTCCCAAGTGCTGGGACTACAGGCATGTGCCACCATGCCCGGCTATATCTTTTTAAAAGTGTTTTATTATTTTTATTTTATGTGTATGAGTATTGCCTGCATGTATGTAAGTGCACCCGGGTCGTGCAATGCCTGAGGAGGTCAGAAGAGGGCGTCAGATCCCCCGGAACTGGAGTTACCCTCATGTGAGTGCTGGGAATAGAACTCGGGTCCTATTCAAGAGCAGCCAGTGCTCTTACCTGATGAGCCATCTCTCCAGCCTGCACTACATCTTTTTTTAAAGCTACTAGCTTTTAAAAGATTTGTTTTTATTTATATGTATGTGTATGCATCTGTATGAATGTGTGCCACATGTGTGTAGGTGCCTGGAGAAACAAGAGGGTGTCAGATCCCTTAGAGCTAGAGTTACAAGCAGTTGTGAGCTAACCAACATGGGTGGAACTCTGGTCTTCTGAGTAACCAACAAGGGCTCTTAACCACTGAGCCATCTCTCCAAACCTCATCTTTTTTTTTTTTAATCTACAAAAGATTTTTAAACATCTGACATTCTCCTTGTTTATGAGATTATACTCAGAATATAGTCATCACCTTGCAACTACTAGGGGGAAAAAAAAAAACCCTATACTGGTTCCTTCTTAGCTACAGAGTAAAATTCAGACCACTGACCACTTAATGCTCCCATAATGTGACTTTAATCTACACTTCCTTCTTCTCTCCTTATTTTCCTGGGTTCTTGGTTGTAGGTGGATTCATGGCTTCTTCGTCCTATAAATATGTTGCTTTATGTGTAAAAAGAACCAGATGAGATTAAAGGTCTTTTTTTTGTATGTAACAGGGTCTCATGTAGCCCCAGCTAGCCTCAAACTTCCTATGTAGCTGAGGATGACCTTGCACTTACTTCTCTGATCCTCCTGTCTCCAGGACGGGCAGTTGGAATCATTGGGATTATAGATGTGTACCACTGCTCCTGGTTCATACAATGCTGGGTACGGAACCCAGAGCTTTGTACATGCTAGGCAAGCACTCTTAACAACTAACCTACATCCCCAGCTCCTTGCTTAAGGGTCTAACATAAGGAGGGTATTCTGGATTATCTGAGCGGGGACAATCTACTCCAGAGTTCAATTAGGACATAGAAAAGGAAGACAGAAGAGTCAGGCAAGCTATCAGAGCAGAGGCTCAGGATGACATGATTTTTAGCTTTGAAGATGAAGGAAGGGGCCATGAGCAGAGGAATGTGGGAAATTCTGAAAGTTGGAAAAGGCCAAGACTCCCCTGGAACCTTCAGAGAGCAGTACGACCAGGGAAATACCTTTTTTTTTTTTTTTTTTTTTTTTTTTTTTTTTTTTAGTTTTGTTTTTTTAAAACATTTCATTTATTACTTTTACTTTATGTGTATGAGTGTATCGCTTGCATGTATGTAAATGTACCTGTGTTGTGCAATGCCTGTGGGGGTCAAAGAGGGCATTGGACCTCCCTGGAACTGGAGTTAAGGACAATTGTTAACTGTTATGTGGGTGCTGGGAACTGAACCCGGGCCCTCTGCAAGAGCAGTCAGTGCTCTTAATCACTGAGCCATCTCTCCATCCTTGTTTGTTTGTTTTTTGAGACAGTGTCTTCCAGTAGCCCCAGCTGGCCTGGAACTCACCATACAGACCAGGCTGGTCTCAATCTCATGGAGATCTGTCTGCCTCTGCCTCCTGAATGCTGGGATTAAAGGTATGTACCACCATGCCTGGCTGACCTCTAACTTTAAATAAATTATTTTTATTTTTTATGTGTATGAGTATTTTGACTGTATACATGGGAAGTGTACCACACGTCATGCAATATCTGTGGAGGCCAGAAGAGGGTGTCTGATTCCCTGGAACTGGAATTATGGTTATTAGTTATAGATGATTGTTAGCCACCATGTGGATGCTGGAAAATGAACTTGGGTCCTCTGCAAGAGCAGCCAGTGCTCTTAATTGCTGAACCATTTCTCCAGATAGAATTTTTACTTTGTTACAGCACCAATT